TGGGTACTGTCCTGTCCATAATAGGCATCAGATATTAAATATTAAAGCCATTCAGAAGAGGCACTCAAATATATTTAACCTGATTTAGAAATTATACGACATACGATTTTAGAGGTTATAGGAAGCATTCCAGGATGCTGGGAATATGTTCAACAACTGTGATCAAAGAACATCTGCATAAATTAATTGTTCCCAGAATCATACTCTACATATCGTACAGAAACGTTGAAAATTTGAAGCCGATCAGATGAGCCATTCTCGTGTTATGAGATGAAAACATCTGGATGAATAAAAAATAAAAAAAATACAATTCTGGCAAGGAATTAGAGGTCTCCTTGGAAGATACCTGATGAGAGACATTAGGAGACCCTGTACACCCAACACAAACTTAAGAATACATGGGTCAGCGTAATCCATTGAACACAAGCATTCCTGCAGAATTTACAACACTAGTAATGCTTGCTTACAGCACCACAGTTTAGATGCCAAACTCACGGCTTGGGAAAAAGTTACACTATTATTAGTTAAAATTTAAAAAATTAAACATAATCTAGTGTTCTCGACAAGAATAATGGCACGAAAACCTTAGCTATACCCATCATCCCCATAACTTTAGAACAATAAAAACGTAAGAAATTGCCTGGGCCAGTAAGTCACCTGCTGCGCTCCTCTCTAGATCTATTTTGGCTCTAAAATCTTAAATCTTAATTCTCGTTCACCTAGGTGTTTTACCGTCATCCGAGCTGGGTGCGTCATTCTTGTAGGATTGCATGGTCCTGTGGGTTAGAGCGTCATGTGCTATCGCCCATCATGAGGCGGGCCAAAGCAGCAGCATATGCATATATATATATATATACGTATATTATATATATATATATATATATATATATATATATATATATATATATATATATATATATATATATATATATATATATATATATATATATATATATACATATATGCAAACAATCGCAGACCGGCGATCTTAACTGTACAAAACAAGCCACGGGAAGAGATACTTCTGAGTACATCGGTAGAACATTAGACTATCTCTGAGCAGGACATTTAAACGGACAAAGAGCACATTGTATTCCTTTCATTATTTGAAAAGGTCACACAGAATAATAGCTATCCATTTCTACAGTATCTAACAAGAAACTTATTTTCTCAAACCACATGACCTGTTATAAACGATTAGAAAAAGATTTAGGCTGGCTTTTTTTATATCTTATAATTTCATACTTGACATGTCAGAGACCCTCCTACCCCATATGGGTAGTAGGGGGATGATGGTAGGGTGGGGTTGGCACGGACCACTAACCACAGTCTAAGGGTAAGCGTAGCCAGTGACACCTACGCTACTCTGAGACCACTCTCCCTGCTTTGGTTGTTCCCTTGCAACATTGCACAGCTCCAGATGACGCACTGAGAAGTGTGAAAGTACTTGAGCTAAAGATTTTTACCCCCTTCCCCGCGGCTTGTCCTGCAGTATTGCAGTGGCTCTGCGCCTTGCTGCCCAAATTCACACAGAATATATGTGTATTTGCGGCGAAGCGCAAGCAGACCAATACGGTCTAGATGGTCTTAATTGTTCCAAAACCAAAACCAAGACACAATGAGGTCAACGACATCATAAAGAGAACCCTTGCCACTGCTGGATGCCCAGCCGAGAGGGAGCCCCGATCACTAGCAGCCAACAATACCCACAACCCAGCAAACCGCCGCGACGGTATTACCATCTATCCTTGGAAGAATGGCAAGCTCTTAGCATGGGACTGTACCTGTGTGTCCACACTGGCTGACACCTATATCCATCACAGTGTCGGGCGACAAGGAGGAGCTGCTGACAACAGGGAGGAGTACAAGATCAGCAAGTACAGGGACATAAGTCAACAGTATCAATTTGTCCCAGTGCGATCAGAGACCTTGGGATCATGGGGAAAAAATGCCACACGTTTCCTTAAAGAACTGGGTTCCAGACTCATCGACACTACCACGGACCCAAGGGCAGCCACTTTCATGTTCCAGCGCCTCAGCATGACCATCCAGAGGGGAAATGCTTGCTGCATACTTGGCTCGCGTCCGGCTTCAGAGGAGCTGGAGGAAATTCATGATCATTAATACTTTGTATCATTGTATTCATGTTTGCGTTTTCTGTAAATGTATTCTGTTTATTAATAAATGTTCACATAGAATATAAAATATAGGGGGTGGTAGGAGAAGAAAATATTCAAACAGCTCCGGGGAGAACCTTGAGTTTTCCCTGAGGTACGTTTATTGTCTTCTCTGAGGATGAGGGTCACCAGTCCAGCTATAGAGGTGGTACCTCCCTATATCTATTAATATATTATATTATATATATATATTATTATATATATATATATATATATATATATATATATATATATATTATATATATATATTTTATATATATATATATATATATATTAACAAGTCGGCCGTCTCCCAGCGAGGCAGGGTGACTCAAAAAGAAAGAAAATCCCCAAAAAGAAAATACTTTCATCATCATTCAACACTTTCACCTCACTCACACATAATCACTGTTTTTGCAGAGGTGCTCAGAATACAACAGTTTAGAAGCATATACATATAAAGATACACAACATATCCCTCCAAACTGCTAATAACCCAAAACCCCTCCATTTGAGTGCGGGCATTGTACTTCCCATTTCCAGGACTCAAGTTCGGCTATATAAAAATAACCGGTTTCCCTGAATCTCTTCACTAAATATTACCCTGCTCACACTCCAACAGATCGTCAGGTCCCAAATACCATTCGTTTCCATTCACATCTATCGAACACGCTCATGCACGTCTGCTGGAAGTCCAAGCCCCTCGCCCACAAAACCTCCCGTACCCCTTTCTTCCAACCTTTTCGAGGACGACCCCTACCCCGCCTTCCCTCTCCTACAGATTTAAATGCTCTCCATGTCATTCTACTTTGATCCATTCTCTCTAAATGACCAAACCACCTCAACAACCCCTCTTCAGCCCTCTGACTAATACTTTTATTAACTCCACACCTCCTAATTTCCACACTCCGAATTTTCTACATAATATTTACACCACACATTGCCCTTAGACAGGACAACTCCACTGCCTCCAACCCGTCATCCGAGAACATCCGGTGTTGTGGACGTCTCTAAGCCAATTTCATTTTACTCCCTGTTTGGTGTACTAGCCCAAGGAGCAGTATTTTATATTATTGCATTATAATATCACTCGTTCGTGGGTACAGTAATATAAAATATTGCTCGTTGGGCTAGTACACCAAACAGGGAGTAGAATGTAAGCAGCTCTCGGATGACGGGTACAACATCTAGTTTGGCTAGATGCGTCATTCTTGAGAATTGAGTGGTCCCGTGGACTAGAGCGTCATATGTCTTCTGCTCGCCATGAGGTGGGCCAAAGCAGCATGGGTTCGACTCCTTGGCTAGTTCCAATGTTGTCATTGATGAATTCCACTCGTTTGTGGGCAATATATATATATATATATATATATATATATATATATATATATATATATATATATATATATATATATATATATATATTGTATATATATATTCGTGTTTATATTTTATAGGTGACGTTTATTTAGATTATTATTAGCTTTTCTTATAAATTTTATATACCCAGCGTGCATATATATATATATATATATATATATATATATATATATATATATATATATATATATATATATATATATATATATATATATATATATATATATATATACTGTGTGCATAATGGGAGTTCTTATGGAAAAAGTAGAAAACTGTCTGGTACCATTTTATTAAGGTGTTGAGTCCAGCTCGTCGCTTACTGAAGTCTTCATTGATTTCCATAATTAATCCCATTTTTAATATTTAGTTAATCATGTTAAAAATAATATTTACTTATCAAAATTATATATCCATGCCGTTTAATGGGAATGATATATATATATATATATATATATATATATATATATATATATATATATATTATATATATATATATATATATATATATATATATATCTGCTACAATGCAGTGTTAAACATGCCAAAATATCCTTTTCATAAGAATTTTAACAGTTTTTTGTTGAGCAAATATACTATTATGACACTTAAAGCCAAGCTAAGAAAGTAGAGCAGAGGGAGGGAGGGAGGGGGGGGGTAGAGTGCAGTTTTGTTGCACCTAAGATGCATCAGGCAGGAGTGCCAGGCTCCTAGGAGTATCAGGCAGGAGTGCCAGGCTCCTAGGAGTGCCCGGCATCTCACTTCAGCTATGAAGCATTACCAGCTGTATACACAAAAATAAATACCTCTATCACCATCTCTTTCTCTTCATCGTCGCTCTTGGACGGGAAAAAAAGGGTAAACAAAAGTGAGAGAAATTCTACAGAAAAATGTATGCAGGATTTTAACTATTTTATCTTGTTGATTCAATACTTATACTGCGCCATGTGGTGTATTATACAAAAAAAGCTATTATTCCTAGGCTGCAGATCTATGAAAAAACATATCATTACAACTAGTAACATGCTGTCTGCCTTCTATTCCTCACGTCTGAAAATATTTCTCTACACAAATATTACTATTCTTTCTTATTTAGCATGCAGTTACAAATCCATTTATAATAACCATTTCAACAGAATTGTGTTTACCGCTTCTCTTTTGAAATATGATGTGTAATAAATCCTACCTGTATGTATTCTCCTCACTCAGGGACTTTTCATGGACCTGGAACCTAACCAAGGAAGGAAAAGGCTTGCCTTTCCTAACTAAAAGTATTTTACACAGCTTAAATACAGAAAAAAATATTTTACTTAAATAGTTGTATGAACAATAACAAAGACTTTTGAATTCAATATTAAGTTTTAACAGCTACAAATAACAAACATCTTGATTTATTTTTTAAATTAGAATGGCTTGGTGTGATGTTATTTCTTATAATTTTCTAGTGCCGGGGTATCAGTGGAAGCTTACCTCGAAGATCTTCTTGGTGACGTCCACCTGCAACTTGCTAAGCATCTCCATATCCTTCTCCTCAAGGAGTCTATCACCGTATACCCGTTGAGTCTCGTGAAGCCAACATCGCAACAGTTCTAACGGAGCCTTTACCGTCTCTCCGGTGCAGAATAATAGACCCTGAATTCAAGCAATACCGGCAAATATAATCACTAATTAGGACCAAATCCGCTTTGATGTAAAGTATCAGTTTACTTCTTAATCTATCTATCGGAAAGTCTATAAATGTATTCCTTCGCCTCTTTACGAGGACAAATCTCTTCTTAGTATATTTTGAGCACCCATATAAAATTTACAGTATTTCTCCCATTTTAAAAGATAAATTCCCTCCATTATCTTGGAAACTAAAGAACACTCAGACACTTGGAATTTTACGTTATGGACCTAATAAAAGCCAGAATCAAGATTCTGGCCATCTCACCTGGAATATGTTAGTTAGATCGCGGAGATTGAAGATGTAGTGGAACTTGGTGGCAGTGGGAAGGAAGGTGAGACTCACTTTCTGGTGTAGCTGGAGGGCAGCTTGCACCAGCGGCTCCGTCATCTAAAGATTTTTTAAGTGAGGTCTTGGGTAGACAATATTGCTGGTGGCTTATTTTATTATCAGCACAATATATTTGCAGCAATTATTAAGGAAGATTGATCTGATTATGCAATTTAATTCACATGCACTCGTACGTACACGAACACAAACTCAAAGGCCCACATTCACAAAACACACAATTACAGAAAATTACCCACCCTGGTCAAATTTTGGTTGAACTTCATAGAAGGACTCTTGAGATGTTGATCTAGTAAAGATGAGTAGATGAGGTTCAGACTTTCCATCGATGGGAAGCTGAAAGTTAAAGGAACGAAGCTTTATTTTAAATATTATTTTTTTTTAAATCTCTTAATTGTAGCTCACCACACATGTAAAGTGACTTTATGATAGATGTCACTTCTTCCATTTATATAAAAGACCAAAAGCAAATCTTCTTGCTATCCGGTTATAAATCTCATTTCATTTATGTTGCCCCTAACCAATCTGCTCTTGTTTTCTGTTGCTCCATAAACCCTCCATCGTACTGTATCCTCTCTGCTTACTAAGTACAGTATCCTCTCTGCTTACTAAGTACTGCATCCTCTCTGCTTACTAAGTACTGCATCCTCTCTGCTTACTAAGTACTGCATCCTCTCTGCTTACTAAGTACTGTATCCTCTCTGCTTACTAAGTACTGCATCCTCTCTGCTTACTAAGCACTGTATCCTCTCTGCTTACTAAGTTCTGTATCCTCTATGTTTACTAAGTACTGCATCCTCTCTGCTTACTAAGTACTGCATCCTCTCTGCTTACTAAGTACTATATCCTCTCTGCTTACTAAGTACTGTATCCTCTCTGCTTACTAAGTACTATATCCTCTCTGCTTACTAAGTACTGCATCCTCTCTGCTTACTAAGTACTGTATCATCTCTGTTTACTAAGTACTGTATCCTCACTGTTTACTAAGTACTGCATCCTCTCTGCTTACTAAGTACTGCATCCTCTCTGCTTACTAAGTTCTGTATCCTCTCTGCTTACTAAGTTCTGTATCCTCTATGTTTACTAAGTGCTGTATCATTTCTGTTTACTAAGTACTGTATTCTCTCTGCTTACTAAGTACTGTATCCTCTCTGCTTACTAAGTTCTGTATCCTCTCTGCTTACTAAGTACTGCATCCTCTCTGTTTACTAAGTGCTGTATCATTTCTGTTTACTAAGTACTGTATTCTCTCTGCTTACTAAGTACTGTATCCTCTCTGTTTACTAAGTATTGCATCATCTCTGTTTACTAAGTACTGTATCCTCACTGTTTACTAAGTACTGTATCATCTCTGTTTACTAAGTACTGTATCCTCACTGTTTACTAAGTACTGTATCATCTCTGCTTACTAAGTACTGTATCCTCTCTGTTTACTAAGTATTGCATCATCTCTGTTTACTAAGTACTGTATCCTCACTGTTTACTAAGTACTGTATCATCTCTGTTTACTAAGTACTGTATCCTCACTGTTTACTAAGTACTGTATCATCTCTGCTTACTAAGTACTGTATCCTCTCTGTTTACTAAGTGCTGTATCATCTCTGTTTACTAAGTACTGTATCGTCTCTGTTTACTAAGTACTGTAACTTCTCTGTTTGCTAAGTACTGTATCCTCTCTGTTTACTAAGTACTGTAACTTCTCTGTTTACTAAGTACTGTATCGTCTCTGTTTACTAAGTACTGCATCATCTCTGTTTACTAAGTACTGTATCATCTCTGTTTACTAAGTACTGTATCCTCTCTGTTTATTAAGTACTGTATCATCTCTGTTTACTAAGTACTGTATCATCTCTGTTTACTAAGTACTGTATCCTCTCTGTTTACTAAGTACTGTATCCTCTCTGTTTATTAAGTGCTGTATCATCTCTGTTTACTAAGTACTGTATCCTCTCTGTTTACTAAGTACTGTATCCTCTCTGTTTATTAAGTGCTGTATCATCTCTGTTTACTAAGTACTGTATCATCTCTGTTTACTAAATACTGTATCATCTCTGTTTACTAAGTACTGTATCATCCCTGTTTACTAAGTACTGTATCCTCTCTGTTTATTAAGTGCTGTATCATCTCTGTTTACTAAGTACTGTATCATCTCTGTTTACTAAGTACTGTATCCTCTCTGTTTATTAAGTACTGTATCCTCTCTGTTTATTAAGTGCTGTATCATCTCTGTTTACTAAGTACTGTATCATCTCTGTTTACTAAGTACTGTATCCTCTCTGTTTACTAAGTACTGTATCATCTCTGTTTACTAAGTACTGTATCCTCTCTGTTTATTAAGTGCTGTATCATCTCTGTTTACTAAGTACTGTATCCTCTCTGTTTACTAAGTACTGTACCCTCTCTGTTTATTAAGTGCTGTATCATCTTTGTTTACTAAGTATGTATCCTCTCTGTTTATTAAGTGCTGTATCTCTCTGTTTATTAAGTGCTGTATCATCTCTTTTTTATTTAAGTACTGTATCATCTCTGTTTACTAAGTACTGTATCCTCTCTGTTTATTAAGTGCTGTATCATCTCTGTTTATTAAGTACTGTATCATCTCTGTTTATTAAGTGCTGTATCATCTCTGTTTACTAAGTACTGTATCCTCTCTGTTTACTAAGTACTGTACCCTCTCTGTTTATTAAGTGCTGTATCATCTCTGTTTACTAAGTACTGTATCCTCTCTGTTTATTAAGTGCTGTATCATCTCTGTTTATTAAGTGCTGTATCCTCTCTGTTTATTAAGTGCTGTATCATCTCTGTTTACTAAGTACTGTATCCTCTCTGTTTATTAAGTGCTGTATCATCTCTGTTTATTAAGTACTGTATCCTCTCTGTTTAGTAAGTGCTGTATCATCTCTGTTTATTAAGTACTGGAAAGTTCAGCTCTTGCGGTATTCTTATCATCCTTATCAAGAATAAGACGACCGTAATTCCTTTTTCCAACAAATGACAGAGAAGCATTAAGAGAAATTGGTTAAATGAAGGAAGGAGAAAAAGATAAAAAGGAACAGATTTTTTTTCAGTTCAATAATTGATAATTGCTGAACATATTTCTTATCAACCTCTGTGCATACTTCCAGTAATGGTGATTTTTGTGTATATCTTTATTTTTGCAAAATTAAAAAGTTTGTTTTAATTAGAAATCAGCACTGAAGTGTCAGCCAACGGTTAAAGTTGTAAAATAAAACTTAATAAAGTTTAGATGTGAATGATTTAGGATAGGCTTCATTAGGTTATATTACGTTCATATTACTTAATGCATCCTAACCCAACTTAACCAATAATAACCTTATAAATAAATAAATATTGTACAGTGGAATTCACATTGTAGTATGTAGAATTATGTTTAATTATGTTATAAAAAGTAAATTTACACTTATCACAATAAGAACTCACTTCAAGAATGACAGATATAGAAATGCCGTGGTTTTTTTTATGCTGTCTGTGAGAGATGACTGATGTGTGATTGATCAGCAGCGTCACGTAACAATATTAACAGTCGGTCTGCCGTTCTCTGTTACTTTCTAGCTAAAATAAAATATTTTTTGAAAGGAATAGTATTAAATACCAACACGATGAGAAAAATAGACACATATCAGTATAATATTTTCCATTATTTATGCTATTATCTCTTGCAATAAGATTTCCACAAGAAAAAACTATTATTGAAGAATTAGACATAGGTGCAGCAACTGCGTAAATAAAAAAAAAAAGGCACAATATCGTGACTGGAACGATACACAAATAACCCGCACATAGAAGAGGCTTATGAGGACGTGTGCTGGCTATTTGTTTAACAACTGCATGTTTACTGTGTAGACGTTTCATCGACCAGTGGCTTTATCGATGCAATACAAGGACAGAAACAAGAAGACTGAAGATGTTGAAGATGAGGTAATCAGACCCTGAGGTTAGCAACAGGTGTTCTGCACCCAAGTCTTGATGAATTTGAAGTACCGCAGGAAGAAGTGGACTTGTATACTTAAGTCAGATAAGATGCAGCAGAGACAATGTCTTCATCTGCTGCTCCTCATCTGACTTCAATATATAAGCCCACTTATTTCTGTGCTTCAGATATTCATGACCATATTTTTTTAAAAGGGTGGATAGGTAAGAGCGAAACGCCTCGGCCAGATGACCAAAAATTCCAGCAGTGGGTCACCGGATGACTAAGGCTCGCTACGTATGTTTATTGCGGAAACGTTTCGCCAGTATAAAGAAGATCGTTGTAGGATGAGGAGCTGGAGGTAATAAGTTCCTCAGCCTGGGGATATTTGGGTTCAGACAATCAAGTTCGATAAAGGTAGAACATATGAGCGGAGAAGAGGCTAATATACCTGGAAAAGATGAGGTAAAGCAGTTGGAGGCTGCATCACTTGAGGACAAAATCCGCTAGTGGAAGTATGTCATTCCTACACGTTAGGCAAACATTGAAGAATTCCTTGTGTCAAGATCCCAAGATGCTGTGTCTGATAGGTATTATATAAATGGCTTAGAAAACTGGCAAGTCGATGAATGAGATTCTTGAGCAACATTTAGGTATCTGTAATGTGGAAACGTTTCTTAGATCTAAAAGATGTATGCTGATTTTTTAGACGACTATTCGATATGTTTCCTACCATTGGGGTTAGTACTTTGCCCAACCATTTGGGTAGGTTATATGTCGCAGACCCGACGGAACTAATAATAGCCAATTATGGGTCTGCACCGTATAACTTATCCAAATGGTTGGTCAAAGCACAGAACCTAGTGGTAGGTATCATCTCGGATGCCCACCTAAAACACTGAGTAGATCTTATAAACTGCATAATCTGAAAATTTTGAGTGATTTCACATTCGTAAGAGTTGTTCAGTCGAGTCCTTTTTCCGGAATTGTTGTCTTATTTGGAAAATGAATAAGACAAGTTCTCTATGTCATTGCCCAGAAATATTATTGAATTAAACTGTGTATGGTAAATTAAAAATTCGTATTTGAGGGAAAGTATTACGCCAAAAACATGGGGTGGCAACGAGGAATCTATTGTCACGTTCCTATCTTACGAATTTACTAATTTTTTCACTAAGGTGTTTGAGGAGGTAGATCATGGTAATGAATATGATATTGCGTATATGGACTTCAGTAAGGATTTCGATAGAGTTCCACATCAGAGGCTATTGAGGAAACTTAAGGCACACGGAATAGGAGGAGAAATTTTTTCCTGGGTAGAGGCATGGTTGACAAATAGACAGCAGAGAGTTTGCATAAATGGGGAGAAATCAGAATGGGGGCACGTCATAAGCGGTGTTCGCAA